GGTTCACTTTTGAAATTTTGGAACTGAATAAAATATTCTAATGGCAAGTAGAAAGCAGTTTAAAATGACCAGCAGCTGTCCACAGCTATTGGCAAAGTAGTGACCAAGTAACTTGACGTGGGTTGGAAATTAAAACACAAACAGTATCTGAGGCAAGAATGGAGGTCTGATATAATTTCTGTGTTCTGTTCCATTTCAGGAAAAAAGTTTCTATTTATCTCTGTGAAATGGTGGCAACAGCTGATCAACATAAGGAGGAATTCATTAATTTATACACTATCCCTTTAGTACATAAACAGTTTGGAATATGTTGTTGGTCCCATGCATGATTTCATATTGGGCAGCCAAATTAATGCCATTTCCTAACGACAACAGAGGTTTTTTGGGGTTTTTTTTATCACATAAGAAATGTTTTATGTGTAACAACAGAAGATTTTATGTGAGGGGTAATCTGATTATTTCTTAATTTAGACCAGTATTTATATTAGCCAATCTCCTTAAATCTCAGTGTCAGCCTTTCAATTCATAGGACTGTGGAGAAGAAAGAAAGGAACCGCATACTTGGCCCCAGCTCAGGCCCCTTGATGGCATGGAAAAAAAGGTCTTTGCCATTTTATTTTTAAAGTGAACAAGTTGGGGGGGGGGCACCTGGGTGGCTCAGTCAGTTGAGTGTTGATTCTTGGTTTTGGCTCAGGTCATGATCATAGGGTTGTGGGATTGAGCCCCACCCCCCCCACCCCAGTGCTTAACACCGAGTCCACTTGGGATTCTTTCCCCCTCTGCTCCTTCCTCCCCATCCCAACTGGGGTGTGAGTGCTCTCTCGCTCTCTCTCAAATAAATAAATTAATTAATTAAAAAAATCTTAAAAAAAAAAGGCTAACAAGTTGGAATTGAGACAAAATGATCTAGATACTTATAACATCTTCACCATTCCTTTATGAAATCTTTTCACACGTTACCCCTGAAAGAAGTACTTTTTCTCTGATAGTACTGTGGTTGGGAGGGTAGACTCTGTGCATTTTTAAACTGTCTGGCTTTGAATCCCAGCTCTAGCACTCACTAGCTGGGGGACCCAGGGTGTTATTTGCCTCATCTGTAAAACGGAAACAATAATACTATCTATTTTGCAGGTTGTTGTGAAGATAATGGGTTAGTGTACGTAAAAATTAACAGTCAAAAAGTTAGCCATTTTGATGTTGACAATAATGATATTTGAAGGTTGAACTTGACTTCATTACAGGGTGCTGGGTATTTTACATTTCCATAGTTATCACTTCCAAACATTGGAAGTCCCAGTTAGGATGTGTGGAAGACTGGTGTTCTTGGAGGAAGCAGTAATTCTAACCTGCACCCTCCCCCCCTTGGGACAATGCTGACATGAATGGTTCCAGGTTTCCTAAATTTCCCACTCCCCTCCTTCCCTCACTCCTGGATCACTGGAAAAGGCTGGTGCCCCACTGGGTACACAGCTGTGAAATCTCTTTACTGGGCTAGTGGTGTGGCCCACTTTTGAGGGACATAGAAAGCAGCTCTGTTATCCTGAGGAAGAAACAGACAGAGATAGAGTAGATTGCTAGTACTTTCTGGGAACAAGGAAGTCAATTAGTTGGAATAGCTCATTAATAATCACTTTACATTGATTACATTTTGAAGTGAAAATATTTTGGATATATTGGGTTAAATAAAATTACTGATTAATTTTTACCATTTCTTTTTACTTTTTGTTATTTGGCTAATAAAACATTTAAAATTCCATATGTGGCTCAATGTACTTCTATTGGACTGCATATGTTCTGTTGGAGGAACAGGAGAATTTCTGAAGGCCACCACAAGTCTTTGCCTTGTCTAACGGTGTCCCAGTTAGGATGTGTGGAAATGATACCTGCCTTCTGTGGGAGATTGGTGAAGGCCATTTCTGACCACAGTTTTAGTGCGGGCCAAGTAGACGAAAAGGACATGAGGGGAAGGTGTCCCCCCTCCCAGGGCCCATGGCAAGCATTCTGAAATAGCAGAATGTATGCACCAGACAGTAGCTGCAGCTTTGGAATCATCAGGTAAGCCCTCCACGAGATAACCAAAATCAGGATACTACAGTATTTCATAAGGTTTAAAGTGCTGTGCAAATGAAAGGTTCTAACAAGTATCAATAATCTATTGACAAAGTAAAATTAGTCAATGGTCAATGTAAATTTCCTTACTAAAAGTCAACTTGATACTCCCCATTCAAGGTACAGTTCAAATATCTATTTGGGGCCTCGTGAGTTACCAATTCTTCATCTGGATAACATGTCATGTTAGCCCCAAGGCAAGGATCAGTGTGTCTGGCTTTCTGATTATGTTTACCCTAGGTTTCCCCCACTCTTTGGGAATCTTGGCCATGAATCCATGCAGAAGCAAACCTGGGTAATATTTGCTGATAGTGTTAATGCCACTATCATAAAGGGCCCTCATAATCTTCATCTGGCGTCCTCAAGCCATAAACAGGCCATCTAAATAAAAACACAGCTTCAAAGCAAACCTCCTACTCCCCTACTCCTTCTAACCAGACTTCTAGCTCCAAGCCCCTTCCATTTGGCAACTCTGGAGCTGCCCCTGGCTTAATAGTAAATAAAGGGGGAAAATAAATATTCATATAAATGTGTGTGTGTGTGTGTGTGTTTAGACAGGGAGACTTGAAAATCGACATATAGCAAGGATTGAGTTCTCATGATAAAAGGCAAATTGACTTGAAAACAGGGGAACCTGTTGAAAATCACTGCCTTTATGTTTTATAATATATTTATGCAATGAGTTAGTCATGATCAAAGGAGAGACCTTTTCCTCCTGTTGTCTTCCTCTAAAGGGTTTAGGGAATAATAATCCTGTTCACAAGCATGTGGTCCCCTCAGAGCCCATTCCCAAGCTATTTAAGTGGCTGGGGATAGGGGCTATTTTTAATTATACACTCAAGAATCACAGATGAGACTCCAAGAACTGACCTCCCAATTCTCACCAGGCCAAGACCGGCACTGCCCAACTCAGAAAGGGTTGGATTCTTTAATCCTTTAATCCTCTAAGTTGGATTCTAAGTTGTTTAGTGGAACTGGAAATGCTTTTTCTCTCATAGATACGTGTTCTGCATCTTTGTCCCGACCCAAAAAAGTTGATTTAACTCCTAACATGACATCAAAAGTTTCTACTAGTAACGCAAAAGAAAGGCGTAGAAGCCATGCCGGTTTCTACATCACAGCCTTTCTGCTGTACAAATGCTCTGGTTCAGGGTGGAATGGAAGAGGCAGGGTCCTGCAGTGCTACCTCAGTTCATAAGGGGGTACCTTCCTGTCACTTATGGATTCAGACCAGCTTCCGCCCTGACGGAGAATGGGGTAGGAGTGTGAGGACAATGGGGACCAGGGAGAAGAGAACATAGCCATGAATCAGTTCACGTAGGAGGACAGGTGTCCTTCCCCACCCCGGAGGAGGAGCATATGAAGATAATCCACAGCAGTGATGGAGGTGGGAAGTATGATAAAGTTACTGCTTTAGTTTCTACAGCTCAGACCTGCTAATGGTAGGCACTGTCTAGCTCTTTCTTTTCTCCAAGACTGTGGCAGGCGGGAGTCACTGCCGACTGCTTACTCCCTGTAGGGTCAGTCTTGTTCTTTTGAAGAGTGGGAAGAGGGGTCGGGCGCCTGGGTGGCTCAGTTGGTTAAGCGACTGCCTTCGGCTCAGGTCATGATCCTGGAGTCCCTGGATAGAGTCCCGCATAGGGCTCCCTGCTCGGCAGGGAGTCTGCTTCTCCCTCTGACCCTCCCCCCTCTCATGTGCTCTCTCTCATTCTCTCTCTCTCAGATAAATAAATAAAATCTTAAAAAAAAAAAAAGAGTGGGAAGAGGGGCTACCAAAACTCCTCGGCCCCACCTTCTGGTAAGAGGCCATGCTCAGACACATCCCGGGCTCTGCTACCTGTGTTACGCCTGGGGAGGCTCAAACTCACAGCGACACGGAACTAACTGCTAAGCTTGCCCCAAACTAGGACAGCATGCCATTCCCAAACCTGGGCTCCTGTCTTCAGTTCCCCGGGACAGCCTCTGGCTTGCTTGGTCATGGAACCAGCTGGACGTGCCTAACTCCCATCCCTGAGATGGACCAGCCATTCCTGTGTGTAGCTTTGTGCTCAGCAAATGGATGACTATAAGCTGAAGAACAACTGTAGATATTTCTGATAGTGATATGAAGAGGGTATTTTGTAAGAAGATACAAATGCCTCCTTTAGAGGGATTGCAAAAGCTTAGCAAGAGGTTTCCCCAAGCAACCATCTTTCCCTTTAATTATCATTATGGACATAATATAATGTCCACTTTTTTTTTTCATGGCCACAAAGAGTTACGCTCCTAATATGTAAATTGGGAAACTTGTAAAGTCTGTGTTTGTTGAACTTTTAGGACAAGTAATGAATGCTCTAAGCTTACCAACAGGGATGCTTCTCACTTGGGACCATTCTAAATGGCAGCTAGAATGCTGGGTGTCGGGTACCACATTTTGTGTTGGGAGAAACAGAAGGCAAAGCATGGAGAACTCGCACCAGTGAATGGGGAATACCTAGAGGCGAACTGCAGCTCGGGGAAGTCAGGTTGTAGCTGATACCCATCCACAGGTGGAAGGGGCTGCCTCCTCCTCAGACAGGAAGCCAGGCTGGCAGAGGCGGACAGGGACATATCCCCCCTTGTAACTCTAGGCTGGGGGTCTGGGCCGGCTTAGCAGAGGGCCAAGGATCCCTTTCAGGGGGACTGTATTAGGTGTGAGAAAACACTGGCAGAGAGCTGCTGAAGGCCAGAGTTAGAGGAGGAAGGAAGTGGGGTGAAGGTGAGCAGGGAGAAGAGAAGGCTCTAGACCTCAAGAATCCGAACTTATTTTTAGAAGTTGCAAAGGCATGGCGGTGGACAGTGTGGGAGCGAGAGGGGAGAGAGTGAGAAGGCTGCTCAGAGCTGGGCTGTGGAAACGAAGTGAGTTAACTCACCGTGAAAGGCAAGGAGCAGACCGCAAAGGTGATGGTCATAATAGCCAGGAGAATGAGGTGGTCCGTCTCCTCCGCCATGGACACCCTTTCCCCTCTCCTGCGGGTCCCAGGGCCATGCCGGCAGCTGCCCAAGTTGGGTCCGCAGCGACTTCTCCTGCTCCGACGGTGCATGCGGATGAGGTTGAGGATGACACTGAAGTTGCAGGCGAGCACCGCGACGATGAGGAGCAGTAGCACGGTGGCGTACAGCTGCAGGTACGTGGTGTCCTCGGGCTGGAGGAAGCACCACGTCCCGGGGCAGTACTGGACGTACTGCTTGGAGTCCAGCAACGGCAGGGAGCAAAAGAGCAGAGAGACCGTGTAGATGGCGGGCAGCACGGCCAGGCCGCCTCGGCGCGTGACCCAGCGCTGGTAGAAGTAGGGGTGCCCGATGGCTAGGTAGCGCTCCAGGGCCATGGCGAAGAGCATGAGCATCGTGGCCAGGCTGAAGAAGGTCATGGCGAAGGCGAAGTAGGTGCACGCGCGGCGCTTAGGCGCCAGTGCCACCAGGGTCTGGTTCCGAGCGTAGGAAGCCAGCACCACCGGGCTGATGAGGCAGGTCCCAAGCAGGTCGGTGAACACCAGCTCTGTCACCAGCACGTGGAACAGGGAGATAGAGTTGCCGCGTCCTGCGCTGCGTCCCGCGTCCCCCTGCCAGCGGCGCGCCAGCAGCGCCAGCGCGATGAGGTTCCCCAGCACCCCGGCCGAGAACATCACCGAGCTGATGGCCGGGCTTTCGCCGGAGCGGAGCCACTCCAGAGACCTGCAGTCTTTCGGCAAGGAGTCATTGGAGATATTGCCCATGGCGGAGTGCCGGGAGGAGAGATGCGCCCTCCTCTCCCGGCTCGTACCTGGGAGGACGAGGGTCTGAGAGCAGGAGTGCTCCGAGAAGCTGAAGGAAAGGGGGAGGGACCCAAGTCCAGAGCCCCCTTCCGGCCCCCAGCGCGCCCAGGGAAGGCTCGGCCCCAGGGCTCGCGTTGCTCTCGGAGAGGCCACCGCTAGGCTGCAGCATCCGGGCGGCGCTCGAGGCTCCTTTGCCGAGCCGCGCCCACCTCAGCCGGGAGCCCGCACCCAGGGGCAGCCGCCACCGCTTCCGCACCCTCCTGGGGACGGACTCAGACGCGGGGTCACGGCGCCTGGGGCTAGCGCCCGCCAGCTGCCCAAGGGCTGGAACGCGCGCCACACCCCGTGGGGGCACTGCGAGTGCCTCGGCCGGGACCGGGAGAAGAGAGGGCCGGAACGCCGGCCCCGCGCGGCGCTGGGCGGGGGCGCGGTGCCCCCGGTTCCGTTCCCTCGGGGTTGGGTACTGGAAGCCGCACGGCCGCTGACCTTGGCTAGGAAGCGTTTAGCCCCAGCAGAGGGCCGGGAGGGAGTGCGGGGCACTTGTGCGGTGTGCGCAGAATTCACCCAAGGCAACAACGGGAAAGCAAAGTGACTCACCGAACAATAGAGAAGTTAGAAGGACCCAGTCCCGGGAGATGTGTGTAAGAAGGGAACAGCAGGCACCAAAGACCTCTTGCAGTAGAACCAATATCTTCTTTTGCTTTTTCTTTTGACATTCTCAGGAAGATAAACTAAGAAGGCGGGACCAGAATTAGGAGGAAGTGAAAAGCTCGCGTGGTTGTCCAAGGAACCAAACCCTGCGCACCGCTGAGCTATCTGTTGAGCTGTTGGCTTTGATTCAGTTGCCAGCATTTCGCCTTTTCCTATGTCAACACCCTAACGGATCCCCACTTGTTTAAGTAAGCAAGAAAAGAAAGAAAAGAAAAAGAAAGAAATGTTCCTTGTGTGTAGAATTGTGCTTGTGAACACAGCTTGAAATCATTGCACATTGTTCTCTAGTCAAGCACAGCCTTGAAAGAAAATCTTGTTCAGGATTAATTTCTTCACGATAACCTTGCAGAGCACATCTGGAAAGACCCATTCCTGGTAAAGCTTTTTAGTAAGTGGCCGGTTTTAGAAACTAGAGCTGACAAAAGTAGACAACACTTTTGTGTTGTCACAATTGCAGACTCCTGAAAATGGGCTGGTGTTTAAAACTGTTTAAACAAGGGCGCCTGGGTGGCTCAGTTGGTTAAGCGACTGCCTTCGGCTCAGGTCATGATCCTGGAGTCCCTGGATCGAGTCCCGCATCGGGCTCCCTGCTTAGCAGGGAGTCTGCTTCTCCCTCTGACCCTCCCCCCTCTCATGTGCTCTCTCTCATTCTCTCGCTCTCAAATAAATAAATAAAATCTTAAATAAATAAATAAAACTGTCTAAACAAATAAAATCCAGTTTGACAGACAAAAGGGGGTAATTATATTCTGTAAGGAAGGTCACATTCACTTGGGGAAGGAGGAAGGACTGGGAGATGGAAGGATCTGCATAGGGAACAGGCAAGGGGTAAAAGTCATCATGGTGGAATAAAGAAAAAATTACCTGCCGACGAACATCTTACCACAGCCTGCTTGCTCTCCATGAATATTTTAGCTCACCTTGATAATTCTGGCCTTGGGATTGGAATGGAGATGGGGCTCCCAACAGGGCAAGTTCAAATGGAGTCTATTTTTCTCAAATAAGAAGTTCAGCAGTCACAGGCAGGTGAGCCTCCCGGGACCCAGTCTCTTTGTGTTCTACAGCCCTTCATTCCTAGCATGCTGGTTTTCTGTCTACATGTTTTTCCCCCATATAGTCACCAGCCGCTGCCTATATCAGTCAGGATGCAACCAGAGAAACAGAACCACTGTAAGTGATGAAGAATGAGAGATTTATTATTAGGCACTAAACCTGCGCTGTTCAGTACGGTAGCCACTAGCCACATGTGGCAATTTAAAGTTAAGTGAGTTAAAATTAACTAAGTAAAAATGTAGTTTCTCATTTGCACTAGGTACATTTCAAGTGCTCAGTAGCCACAGGCATGTGATTAGTGACTATCATATTGGGCAGCTCATATACAAAACACTTCGATCATCACAGAAGTCCTATTGGAGAGTGATGCATTAGACCCTACGCGATTGTGGGAGCTCCTGGAGAAGTCCATGCAAAGCTGTTTGCTGTCTTTGGTTCTAGTGTTGATTGAACCTGAAGTCACCATAGGTCAGACAGAGTGGTGGTCGGGGTAGAAAGCTGGTTGTGGATAAAAGCAAGTACAGGCTTGGAGCCTACAGGGATAAACTGGAATTCACAAACAACTAGAATCTTCAAAGACAGGCTGAATTTGTGTGTGTCTCTCACCACCTCTGACCCTGATAATGCAGGTATACTGTGGGAGAAGCTGGCATCCTGCATGGGGCTGCACATGCACTTGGCTTAGGATGCAGAGAAGCTGAAGGAGGAGATCTGATGGCAGCTGGAGTCTGCGTGCTGCCTCATACCTGCAAGGTGAGCCGGCAGATCAGGGACAATGTACTGGAGTTACCACCGTGCCTGGAGCCCTGCCTTGTCCTTCAGAGCATGAAAACCATAGGTGCTGCTTCACTGCTGTCTTCTCAATCTCACACAACGCTTGTCTTGTGGCTAATGCTAACCTTGAAACCATGCAGGATTCTGAAGAACAGATCCTGCTCAGCTGAGTGAACTCAGTATAAAGCTACCACACTGCCCCACAGGTCCAGGCATTAAGTCTGCACCGAAAGCAGATGGTGAGAAAGAGGCAGCCTCTGTGAGCTTGCTCTCTCTCGTGCCTGTTTCTTTCTTCAGAAAAGCTCGTTTTCCAGAAGTACCCCGATAGCCTTCCCTTCATATCTCATTAGCCAGAATTAGGGTAAAATGGCCACTCCTTAGCTCCAAAGGAGGCTGAGAAAGAGGGGGTACTGAACATTTCCGGCTTCTTCCAGAGTAGAGGCAGGCAGGGGAGAAGGGGCTCAGAATGGCATTGGGTTGGTCAGCTGAAAGTGTCTGCTGCAGATCTGCACAGTGGGGTCACCACTCTCCCCTTCTTACAACCAGGAAGGAAGTGCAAGAACACCCATTCCGAGTCCTTCATTTGCAGTTGAAGAAACTGACGCACAGAAAAGTTGCGTATCTTACCCAAGGATATACAAAGTTAGTGCAAAGCTAGGAGTATGGAAGCCAGACCGTCTCGTTTACATTACAGATCTCTGCATATTGCACACACTGTCCATTTAAAGCCAGAAAGGAGCCCTTGGCACAATACCCATCCTCAATCCTGCATTAGAGCTCACTGGCAAATCACTCAACACAATTTAGATGTTACTTTTTGCCTAACCTATTGATAAAGTTTGAAAAGATTACACATATCCAGGATGACCAAACAGAGAGAGAAAGGGGCTTGTTGTTGGTGGAAGTGTGAGTGTGGGTACAACCTTTCTGGTGAGAATGGTTTATTAATTATCACAAGCTTTGAATATGCTCCAGCACAGAAATAATGTTATAGAAATGTACTGCCTCAAGGAGACATAATCTAACAAATACACAAAGTTGTCACACACACACACACACAGCAGGAAGAATGTTCATTATTTCAAGAATCTAGAACTAAATGTCCTTCCATAGAGGACTGGTTTAATAAATTTTGGTGTACCCATGCGAGAGAATATATAGTCATTAAAAAGGATGACGTATATCTATATCTCTTGATAATGATCTTTACCACATATTGAGTTAAAAGCATGTATATTATTTCATTCATATAAAATTATATGCATAAATATTTGCATAGAGCAGCTTCTAGAAGGATGTTCAGCAAAATGTTAGTAGTAATTTCTCTGGGTAGGACTTTCTTCTTTAGGCCTGTCTGTTTTGGCCAATTTTTCTATAAATATCTATTACCTTCATTTTAGGAAATTCAAGGAAGCTGCTTTTTGTTTAGAAAAAATTAATCATTGGAGGAGACTGTCTTTTCTACTTGACAGAAAGCAGCAAGTTAGATGCTAATGTTTTAAATCCTCTTCCAGTTCTACTATTTAACAAGTAGGCAGATCTTGCCAGCTATTTGAGACTGAAGAAGATTGGAGATATATCCTTATATTTTTCATAAGGGTTTTGCAACTGTTATTCTTATTTGAAGATTGGAAATCATCACATATTTTGCACCATTTCTAACGAGATGTTGTCCTGCCCTACTTCAAGTGACTGCTCTGACATTAGATTTTTGTCATCCCTTAACCCAATTCTGATACTACCATTGTCAGGAAGTCCCTCTTTCATAAAGGTGGGAAGAGAAGTAAAAAAAAAACCCAAAAACCCCAACCCAAATGCAGTCAATAAAAGTCAGTTTTGAGACAGGTTAAAAAAAAAAAAAAGGGTAATTGTGAGTGGGTAGATACAGAATCTTAGTATAGAAATAGAAACTATAAAAAAGAACTGAATGGAAATTCTAGAATTAAAATTTACAGCAGCTTGGAGTTGGCAGAAGAAAGAGTGAGCTTAAGGACTAATTACATCTGGTCACCTTTCTTTCCTTGTCATCATTACTTTTGTGCTCATTGGAAATAGTCTCACTCTTCCCATAACATGTGAGGCTTGCCCTGTTTTTATCCATGAAGTGAAGCATGGGTTTTCTGTTCTCTCAGATCCCTCAAACCTCTCTGAGATATGGGGTGCAGAGCCACATTATCTAGGAAATGCCTGTGTTAACATTTAAGCTCTCTTGTTCTCTTGAACTTCACCATCCCTCCTTCGCAGCCTGTGGACCCAGTGGGGGAAGAAGTGGGACAACTTTGTTCTTCCTCGTCTCTTCGGACCTAGGTCTCCTCTATGCCTAGTCTTTCAAAAGTCCTATGCCAAACATTGACACCTGTGTTCTGTTAAATTGTCCTTTTCCTGAGGCAGTCAATACCACACCCCAGCTGCTGCTAAAACTAGGTAAAGGGCTGGACTATCAGCAAGTACTGGGCAACAAAATACATAGGTTAATATGTCAAATTATAACATTTGCTTTCACGTAGGTGTGTGTATATCCAAGGCTTGGTGGGACTTATTACAACCTCATAGGATTGTTTGAGAAACAATTTGATAAAGTCTTTGTAAGACCTGAGTCAATAAAAAGTGCTTTACAAATGGATGTAGTACAATAGTTTTCTTGTCCTTAGATGGGAAATGTCAGAACCGCTTATTAGCACCAGGAGTTAGATAAAATGAGTTACTCCAATAATGCCAGGAAGGCAAATGGCCTATGATTCTAATTTCCTTTTTAAGATTGATAGAGAACAAAGAATCCAATATAGTCATGAAAATTCTCTTTACTTAGAAAGGTTTGCTTCCAAGGACAAAACCAAATATAGGGCAGAAAAGCACATATAACAGAAAAATCAGGCTATATTTATTCAATTTGTTTGTATAAAGTAACAACTCATCACAAAGATTTTGGAAAAATTAGAAGGAAGGAAAAAGTCACCCGCAACACTTGATGTGTTTGTTTCAATTTTTCTTCAATGCACTTTTTTTTGTTTTCACAGCTGTGATAATATTATATGTAAATTTTTCTATACTGTTTTTTAAAAAACTTAAAAGCATGTTGACTAGCTTATATTGCAATATGCATTAAAGGCCTTAAAAATGTTCATGCTCTGAGATCCAGAAATTGTACTTCTAGAAATCTATAGTCCATTTATTTATTCACTCAACAACAATTTATTAAGGTATGTATTTACTGAGGCAGCAGAGTATAGTTTGAAGAA